TCTAATTTTATCTTCGTAATACTGAAGTACACGTATATCAACAACATTGCTGTCTCCACCCGTTCTGCTAGGCCGAATTGAACTATACTTCAAGTAATCCTTATGAGCGTAATTTTTGAAAAACGAATAGTTCATGCTTTTGGCTATGTAAGGATTCTTCTGACGAGATTCTTTAGTAACCCGTAGGTAATCACAGGGCAAGTAAATCTCTTTATTTTTGAGTGAGGTCTCTATAGCACTGTGAACAGAGTCACACTCCATTTGAGTGTGACCCTTTTCTAGATACTTTTGGGTTATACACACTTTGTATTTTTCTGACACGTGAAGTAAAGCGTTAGATATTACACAATTGCGATTCTGAGCAGTACACCCATCGGAGTAAATGATGATAGGAATCATTGGATTACTTGGGTTCAGAAAATTCTCTTCCAGGTAGTCTACAAGAAATGATGCGTAGGTAGATGCTTGACCGTCCGCGTTAGTCTCGTCGTACCAGTAACAAGTAGCTCGTCTATCTTTAAGGTTATAGATTGTGTAATTATGGCAGCACAATTTTGTTCTGTAATAAAGAGCGCTAGCTTTTAGCTGTGGTGCTAACTTGACAGACTGAACATCCATTACAATAACATTGCACTGTCCTTCTAAGGCCTTTTTTGTATCTTCTTCTTTCTCCTTTCGGGCGCTATTTTTCATGTTAATATGTTCACTGTAGTCCATTTCAGATAAATTGCCATTTTTGTATTTGAAACAGATATCGCATTGGTCTTTCCTTGGACGAAATAGCGCTAAATTCATTTCTTCAGCCATTTTGTTAATGTCTTAGCAGATAAAGGTTTTTTTTCATTCTCCTGGCACTTAATTTCGTAGACCCTGCGAAGTTGAGCAAAAGATTGAAAATTTTGTTCTAAATAAAGCTTATCAGTATCCTTCCTGCAATAATGCGAGGGAAGTTTGTTTAAACTAGTGAGAAATTCTATGAGGAAATCTCGATCTTCTTTAAACAAATAATTTCTTGGATTATGTTGACTTAATTCTATCTGAGTACTCTTATTCATCCTATTATTGCTTTGGGTTGTCCATGATCTGATAGTCCATTCTCCCAAAGAAAGAGTGTGTGAGTACATGATTTTACACACGGGTACTTCTTCATTTCCACAAATCAAAAAATATTTGATGGTTATATTTCGTCGAGAGCTTTCTGCTTCTTTTGGTCTAGCCTTTTCAGTCACTTTAGCAGTATTACTGACGTTCACTTTTCGTTGATCCCACGTCATGTTAGACCAAAAGTTTTGAAAAATAGCTTGGCGCATTCCTTCCGTCACCTTGAAACATTTTCTTGTCGGATCTTTGGCTTTTTGTTTACAGCTGCACCTGGCACCTAATTTTCTCTCTGTTCTTGTTGTATCATGAAACGTATTGCTTTGATTCCGTGGCTTTCTAAACCCTAAATACCGCTTTCCCGCCATTCTTAATTGCTTATTGATAAACCTCTTATTTGTTCTTTTTTCATTTCTCTTCACTGTTCCATTTTCATTCTCAGTTTCATCTTCAATAACATTGACCTGTAGCTGTATTTCATCTTCATCGATTTCCATACTTTCTTCGCTGTCTGTTTCACTTTCTGGGCTGTAGTCATCATTGTCATAAACGTCAGTTTGTTCTGGTCTATGAGCTTTGCATGCTAAATCTAGAACAACGGGTTTTTCTATATTTTCTTCTCCAGATTTTGTGATAATATTCGCAATATTAATGTCATCCCCATGTTGTCGTGTCTCAATTTCATTTACCTTTTGTTTGATATCATTACTTACGAGATGAGATTGTTTATCGTGAGTTTGATTTTCTTTTTGCCAACTAACCACGTTTGTTATGTCTGACAAAACAGCACTGTTATTATGACAATCGCTTGGATTTTCGTTAATATCAAAGATAATCTCGGCTTCATTGATAATAGTAATTATATCTTCTGAACTTAAGGCTTCATCTAGTTGTCGTGTTCCAATTTCGTTAACGTCGTGTATGGTTTCATTATTTCCGATTCCGGGATGGTATTGTTCATTGTGATTGTGATTTTCAGCACTATTAATACTATTATCAGGATTATCGCTGGCATTATCGTTATCAAAGACATTCTCGACTTCTCTGATGATATTAGAAATATCTTCTGGAGCTAAGGCTTTATTTAAAAGAATATTTCCTGATAGTTCAATTTCACTGATTTCTTGAAGAGAATAATCATTTTCTTCAGTATTATTTTCGCTAGAATGTGGTAGTTTGGCCAATTCCAAAATTTTTTTCGTGCGACTAGACATTTTTAGGCAGCAGTACCTCGTATCTTCTCTAGAGCAATGTGGAACATGACCTCGTAACTAACATCTGCAATTAAAAATGGAAAATTTCACGTAAAATCATCAACAATCCAGGAAATTCACTATGGGACTATTAAGATTATTGTTTACCTTGATAATTATCAGCAAAATTTAACCCTACACATTAGTTATTTCACATTATTCACATACTATTCACAAAACCACTCACCTTGACTAGTCTTAAATGGCCCAAACTTAACATTGTTGTAGTTACGAGGTCTTCCTTGACGAAAATATTATGGAGCAGGACCTCGTATCTAACACCTGTAATTAAATGTGAAATTTCACCTAAAATGATTTCCATATCCGGAAAATTATTATGCCAGAATAAAGATTATTGTCTAATTAAACAATTAATAGCAAAATTCAACCCTACACATTAGTTTTCATAATATTTTGATACTAAGAATTCTCAAAAGCACTTACCTTGACAATACCTAAATGGCGCCAACCTGAACAGTGTTGTATTTACGAGGTTATGCTTCGGGAAACCCAGTGCAATAAGTTACGAGCTCAGATGTTACGAGTTACTGTTTTCGTTTATTTTCACAAATAAATAATTTTTGTAGAATTTTGTCCTTTCGAAAATAGATGGCGCTCACATAAAAGAAGACAACTACATCAAAAACCCGATTTCGTCGAAAATGATAGTTACGAGGTCCTGCGTTTCAGCCCTCGATTATGTTAAAAAAAAAAATTGGTACTTTCTACGTATTCGCCGAAACTAAATCTATATGCCCATGTAGGTTTTTTAAAATTTTGACAGCTGTCAATCTCTGTTTTTTTCAAGAAACAAAGGTCGTTTTTTAGTGGGTTTTAGGGTGAGATTTATGTAACAATATGTAGTAACAGTTAGTACAAAAAAATCAATTTCCCGTCGGGTTTGGAATTCGAATTTTTTGAATTTTCCCGGCTCCTGATTGGTTTGGGGATTCGAATTTTGATTATTCCCGGCTCTTGATTGGCTTTAAATTTTGAATATTCCCGGCTCTTGATTGGCTTTAAAATAATCTATAATCTCGGCCCTTCGAGCTCGGGATTTGAAAAAAAAAAACATATGGCAACACTGCTCATGATACAACAAACGTCAAAAAATTGACAAAATAAGGTGTTTTTGTTTCAAAGATTACGGCCCGAAGGGCCGGAGTATTAAAATCAGTTAACAATGAATGGGTTCGTTCGGATGAAACTTTTGTCGCACGACACTTTGGCAATATCGACAAATGTCACCTGTCATGTTCAACTTTTTCCCCGCTCTACTATAAAAGCTACGAAAATCAAACCCCGGTACGGCAGTTTCGCGACGCCAACTATCGATTTGTGTCAAAAAAAATTGACAGCTGTCAACGTCAGAAAAGTTTTTTTTTTATTTTATGAATTTCGAGAAAAAAAGTGGTAGAAAACGATCCCCGGACCCCAAAAACCTTAAATAAAAATTCCAAAAAAAAAACCAACGAAAATGACATTCCAAAACCTACTTGATAAAACTAAAGTTTTTCTCACTTACCCCGTGAAAACACTGGAAATTTTTGGTGGAAAATGAAAAAAACTCAAAGCCTCGTACTTTAAATCAGTTTTCCCCGGAAAAGTGGAAATTCGAAGAAAAACTGAATAAAAATGTAAACACGTCAATTGAAAATGGCCGACTGTCAAAAATGCTTCATTGATTGAATTTAGCCACAAGCGATGTTGCCACATCAAAAGCATTTTAAATGGGATTTTGCTAATTATGGTATTTAAAACTAGAAATTTTTACTAAAAAATGAAGAAAACTCAAAACCTTGTATGTTAAATCGCTTTTTTTCCAATAAAGAACTCCGGAAAAGTCGAAAATTCGAGAAAAAAACTGGCAAAAAAGCACAAGACGTCATTTCAAAATGGCCAACTAAAAGCAACGTTGCCACATTACATCTCGAAAAACAAAAACAACATTTTAAAAGGGTTTTTTGTTTAAAATTCAATTTAATAATTAATTAATAATGATTATAATAATTAAAATTCCTCAAATAAATCATGGAAAACTTGTTTTTAGTTTAATTTCAATGAAAATGACATTACAAGGTTTCCTTATTGATTATAGTGAGTAAGACAAAGACAACGATAAAGTAATATATGTTTGCAAAAACCACCGTTTTCTGAAAAAAGTAAAAATCTTAAAAAAACCAACATTCCAAAGTCAATTTGATAAAACTAAGATTTTTAAATATTCCCGGCTCTTAGATTGGACGCTAAAAATCGCATTTTAAATACTCCCGGTTTTTAATTGGCTCTAAATTATCCGCTGACCAATAGAATTATAGACTGAGTCCCGTGATTAAAATAACTCTAGCCCTTCGGGCTCGCGTATAACTCCGGCCCTTCGGGCTCGCATAAAACTACGGCCCTTCGGGCCGGTATTACTGATTGGGGGAGGATTGATTGGAACAATGTTGTCAGATTTTTCTAAATTACATTGAAATATCGAAAATTGGAATTTTGTTGTCTAATTTGTGAATTATATTATTTCAATTAGCAATAAGGAATAAAAAAATTGAGATTGAATTTTCAATTTGTTGGGGAGCCTCCCCTGCCTCCTCTGACGAGCCGCCACTGATGACAGATTATAATTAATGAAAAATCCAAATTACTTACTCACTGTTTTTGAACGAGGTTCCCTGGGTCCGTCCACGGTCACTTTAATCGCTTTGTGATAAGTGGCCACCACTGGCGGCGTTGTGAATATCGTGATGGTGATTGTAAAGGATTTGCCTGCGAAATAAAAAATGTCTCTCAGCTACTTAAAGTCAAATTATGTTTTACGGTTCTTCTATTCACCGCGAAATTACCTGTCAAAAATAAAGACAAAATTTATTGGGAGAGGACATTTTAAATAAGTTACTTTGAAACAATCATTTAATACAATAATTATGCTAATTATTATTATTTTTATAATAAAAATTAATTAATTCCTTATCAGTTATCGGCTATATTATTTTTAGGGTTTTGCGGTCAACAATCGAGGAAATAAACCATACTGGAAGTTTGTGGTAAAAATTCTTAAATATTTACAAGCTATTTAATATTCAAACTTTATAGTTTGTTCACCTAAAATCAAAAGTTAAAAACCGCAAATACATTTCGTAGAAACGTTATCCTGCAGCTTTTCATGTAAATCTGGATTTTATTAACTATTACAATAATTTGCTTTGTGTGCGAGCTAATTAATAATATTATGGGAGCTTATAATTACTTTATTTATAGTTTGTACCTACTTGTATCAACTTGGGTTTTTTCTCGGGTTTTTTTTTTGCGTAGACGCGCACACCCTTTCTCTGGTTAATTGTTAATTCTTCTGGGGAATATTTTATTTGTTATTGAGTAACTAAAATTGCTATACAGGGTGGCTCAGTATTCATATGTTTTCTTGAGAAAAATTTTAAGCTTGTTAGTTTTTGAGAAAATCAAAAAAAACTAAGAGATTGCTAGGTTTATGAAAGCTAGTAGTCCCCTATAGTGAAAAATATTTTTCCAAAAATTTCTTTTGTATCAGAATTAGGTGCTTTTTAGGTGCTCCTAAATAGTCGAAGAAAAAATAGAATTGATTAATTATTAACTGAGTTACAGATTTTTTTTTTAATTATAAGGCGACTGCTGACTTTACGTCTACTTGTTGGTGTGTCAGAATGGCAAAAAAACTTCGGGATCTATATAATAATTAGGTGCTTTTCAGGTGCTAATTAGGGCCTCTAATTAAAAATTAGGTGCTCCTCTAGTTTTTGAGAAAATCACAAAAAACTAATAGATTGCTAGGTTTATGAAAACTAGTAGTCTCCTTTAGTGAAAAATATTTTTCCAAAAATTTCTTTTGTATCAGAATTAGGTGCTTTTTAGGTGCTCCTAAATAGTCGAAGAAAAAATAGAATTGATAAATTATTGACCGAGTTACAGATTTTTTTTAATTATAAGGCGACTGCTGACTTTAGGTCTACTTGTCGGTGTGTCAGAATGGCAGAAAAACTTCAGGATCTATGATAATTAGGTGCTTTTTAGGTGCTAATTAGGGCTTGTAATTAAAAATTAGGTGCTCCTCTAGTTTTTGAGAAAATCAAAAAAAAACTAAAGGACTGCTAGGTTTATGAAAGCTAAAAATCCCCTAATAATTAAAAAAAAAATTGTAACTCAATTAATAATTAATCAATTCTATTTTTTCTTCGACTATTTAGAAACACCTAAAAAGCACCTAATTCTGATACAAAGAAAAAATTTGAAAAAATATTTTTTACTATAGGGGACTGCTAGCTTTTATAAACCTAGCAGTCCCTTAGTTTTTTTTTGATTTTCTCAAAAACTAACAAGCACCTAATTTTTAATTAGATGCCCTAATCAGCACCTAAAAAGCACCTAATTATTATATAGTTCCCAAAGTTTTTTTCCACCTTGGGACTGCTAGGTTTATAGACCTGATACTATAGGTATTCTTTCAGAGTCTTTATTTCTTTTTCATGTAAATATTAGTGTGAGAAAATATCTAATATCGAACGATGTTTCTGATTTTTTTCTCGTGGAGTAGGTACTCTCAGTTTTTGGATCAATATAGGGTGGTATGAAATGTATGAATAAAAATGAGCATTTAGTTTCTACTCCAAATTTTGCAGTAAATACTCGACGTGGTATGAATAAAAACTACGAGCAGATATTTCGCTTGAGTAGGTATACTCCTATGTATAATTTGGACGAGTAGATTCTCACTTTTGGTATGAATAAAAAATTGTTTGTGCTCTTCGGCAGGAGAATCTACTCCATAGTTTTAGAGTCTGCTATGCAGTAGACTCAATTTTCTGCTTCAAGTTATTTCAGTACCGATTTTCCCTCGGTAGAAGGCAGAGCTATGGCAGAGTTTTTCAATATTAACCTGCGTTCGGAAAAATTTTACAAAGCTAGAAAAAATACGTGTGATTGGGACTTTAGAACGTTGTAACGGTTTAGTAAAGAAAATGTGGAGTGGTTATCAAATCAATTTTTGGGTGAAGAGTCTGGACTTCTGGAGAAAAAAGAGGTGGTGCTTTATGCAACAAAGACAAATTTAAAATATTTTTAAGAAACGTGGGTGACCCGGGCTTTCAGGCAGAAGTAAGCGAGGATGTTGGGTGTTCACCAAACTTCGGTGTCTAAAGTTGTATCGGAAGTAGCTGATAAGATAATTCAGCAAAGTGAACGGTGGAACAAATTTCCCCGTAGGCCTGCGGATATAATATTATCCATTCACAATCCGATGTCCACAGGTACAGGTGAAATTTATCACCTTTGATAGGGAAAAGTGATAAATTTACCTGTACCTGTGGACATCGGATTGTGAATAGGATATAGAAGTGAAAGAGCGGTGGCAAGCAAAATAAAATGTTGAGTATCTACTCTATGTACTAGCAGTACCTATGTACTTATCAAATCGAAATATTTTTTATTCTTACAAAATGGAGTATAAGCTCAGACTTCATACTCATGCTCACGAGTATATAGTCCGAGTTTAAACTCAGTTTTTATTCATACCACCCATAATCTATACATATGTAGGTACTTTTTATTTGTCTATACTACTGTCTACTTGTTTTTTTCTGAATTTTGTTTAAATTCCTCCTCTCCCTCTATTTTTCAATTCTTGTCTATTCTCGGCTCTTGAATTCTCGAAATAAACAACCTGGAATGGAGAAAAGACGAAAGTCCTTTTATCTAGCATTTTTTTCTCAATTTTCTTGAAATTCATTTCTCAATTTTCCTAGCTCAATTTTTGTCTATTCCAAACTCTTGAATTCGTGGAAATGAAAGAAAATTCAAAACCTGGAATAGAAAAAAGATGAATGTCCTGATGTTCTGTTATCTACAATTTTTTTCCTATATTGAAGAAGGTTAGGAGGATCTTTTACCAAAATTTCAAGCCGATCGATTCAAAATTGGAAAAAATCCCAAAAATCAACTTTGGTAAATATTCAAAAGGAAAAAATGCATTATGAGACATTTGAATTTTTATCTCAAAATCTAATAATAATAAAAATTTGAAATTATCTGAGTCTAAAGAAGAAGGTTAGGAGAATCTTTACCAAAATTTCAAGCCGATCGATTCAAAATTGGAAAAGATCCCAAAAATCAACTTTGGTAAACATTCAAAGGGAAAAAATGCATTATGAGACATTTGAATTTTTATCACAAAATCCGATAAAGATAAAAACTTAGAATTTTCTGAGTCTAAAGAAGAAGGTTAGGAGGATCTTTCACCAAAGTTTCAAGCCGATTGATTCAAAATTGGAAAAGATCCCAAAAATCAACTTTGGTAAAAATTCAAAGGGAAAAAATGCATTATGAGACATTTGAATTTTTATCACAAAATCCGATAAAGATAAAAACTTAGAATTTTCTGAGTCTAAAGAAGAAGGTTAGGAGGATCTTTCACCAAAGTTTCAAGCCGATTGATTCAAAATTGGAAAAGATCCCAAAAATCAACTTTGGTAAATATTCAAAAGGAAAAAATGCATTATGAGACATTTGAATTTTTATCTCAAAATCTAATAATGATAAAAATTTGAAATTATCTGAGTCTAAAGAAGAAGGTTAGGAGAATCTTTTACCAAAATTTCAAGCCGATCGATTCAAAATTGGAAAAGATCCCAAAAATCAACTTTGGTAAACATTCAAAGGGAAAAAATGCATTATGAGACATTTGAATTTTTATCTCAAAATCCAATAATGATAAAAATTTGAAATTTTCTGACTCTAAAGAAGAAGGTTAGGAGGATCTTTCACAAAAATTTCAAGCCGATCGATTCAAAATTGGCAAAGATCCCAAATAAATCAACTTTGGTAAACATTCAAAGGGAAAAAATGCATTATGAGACATTTGAATTTTTATCTCAAAATCTAATAATGATAAAAATTTGAAATTATCTGAGTCTAAAGAAGAAGGTTAGGAGAATCTTTTACCAAAATTTCAAGCCGATCGATTCAAAATTGGAAAAGATCCCAAAAATCAAGTTTAACAAACATTTAAAGGGAAAAAATGCATTATGAGACATTTGAATTTTTATCTCAAAATCCGATAATGATAAAAACTTGAAATTTTCTGAGTCTAAAGAAGAAGGTTAGGAGAATCTTTTACCAAAATTTCAAGCCGATCGATTCAAAATTGGAAAAGATCCCAAAAATCAACTTTGGTAAAAATTCAAAGGGAAAAAATGCATTATGAGACATTTGAATTTTTATCTCAAAATCCAATAATGATAAAAATTTGAAATTTTCTGACTCTAAAGAAGAAGGTTAGGAGGATCTTTCACAAAAATTTCAAGCCGATCGATTCAAAATTGGAAAAGATCCCAAAAATCAACTTTGGTAAAAATTCAAAGGGAAAAAATGCATTATGAGACATTTGAATTTTTATCTCAAAATCCAATAATGATAAAAATTTGAAATTTTCTGACTCTAAAGAAGAAGGTTAGGAGGATCTTTCACAAAAATTTCAAGCCGATCGATTCAAAATTGGCAAAGATCCCAAATAAATCAACTTTGGTAAACATTCAAAGGGAAAAAATGCATTATGAGACATTTGAATTTTTATCTCAAAATCTAATAATGATAAAAATTTGAAATTATCTGAGTCTAAAGAAGAAGGTTAGGAGAATCTTTTACCAAAATTTCAAGCCGATCGATTCAAAATTGGAAAAGATCCCAAAAATCAAGTTTAACAAACATTTAAAGGGAAAAAATGCATTATGAGACATTTG